CGTTGAAGGTAAATTATTATCATTTTTATATCTTCTTAAATTATTCTTAATAATTTTGTCTACATATGAATTGTCATTTTCGTTTATTTCTCTGTTTATCAATTCAATAAATTTTATTTAAATAAATTTTATTAATACGTTTAAAATAAATGGGTTAGTTTTGATATTTAACAAATTCTTTATGAAGTTTATTGCTCTGATAAAACGTGTAATAAGTAGTTCGGAACTCTCAATACTTGGTATTAATACTTTTACACAATGTGCGTGACTTTCTAAAGTACTTACATTTTTCTTTCCAATAAAATTAGCTACTATGTATCTTACGTGATTGACGATCCATGCTTAACTTATTGTATACTCATTATTAATAAGCAACATTGTTTCTCTTAGCTTTTGATTAACATTTTTTTCATCGACGATGTTACTTTTACAACAATCTTTTACATTTAATAACAGTCGATATATTTAAACTGAACACGTGCTTAGACAGTCATAAGCACGTATTGTGGAATTTCCCAATTGTTTCTTTGTAAAAGTGTGTTTAAAATATTTATTGCATACCCTTTATCATATTTTTTCTGTTCACTTTGTGCATTGATAACCAAAATAAGTATAAAGATATTATAATTCATTCTTATTAAGTGATTTAATACGTTATTAATGAAAAACTCACTTGTTATTTTAAAATATGTATGTCGTGTAATTAAGTTTAATTAAAAATTAAACACTTAACAAATTGTAAACGCGTGTTCAGTTGTTTTTAACAGTGTGAACAATTCATTTATAATAAATTTGCTCTGATAAAACAATAATATTTTTTCTCTGAATGAAAAATTTTCCTTTCTTATTTATCGAACCTAAAATCCGTATTAAAAAAAAACCCAGCACAGTGGGGTCCTGGCATAGTGGAGACATGGCATAGTTGGGTTCAGTATAGATTTAATCTGACAGTGATTAAAATCACTATCATAAGAAACGCTTCGATGCAAATCTGTAGATAGTCTTTAATTCTTAAAAATTGGTGAGTAATTATTTTAATTTATTTAAAATATTTTATGTAAAGTACATAAAAATATATAAAATATTTACAGATACCTATATTTTATTATTATATAAAATAAAATTTATTTTTTCGTAAAATCATTGACATTATTTTAAACTTCCAAATCTTGAACACAAGAAGTTATTTTTGTTTCCTCATTATATGAAAAGCCAAGATTATCATACTCTCTTGTAGTTTTATACTTAATATGACTTCTGAAGTGAAATTCTACATATCCAAAGCAAATTAAATTTATTTTAAATCCATTTTTTTGGTAAACAAAATTGATTTTATTTTAAACTTCCAAATCGTGAACATAAGAAGTTATTTTTGTTTCTTGATCATATGATAAGCCAAGATTATTATACAGTCAATTAGTATAAGAGTCAATATAATTTCTTAAGTGATGTTTCATATCTTCAAAGTATGTGAACGTTTCAAATTTTGTATTTGTTTTTTTAAATATTTGTAATTTTGTATGATTGTGAAAAATGATTTTTAAGGATTTTATACAAATTACTCTCTTTAGAAAGTTTTTTATTAAATACATTCCTAATATTTTCCAATTAATCAGTTTCATATTCTTCTGGATTTTTTAGTTTGCTTATAAATATAATAAAAACTTTTAATTCTTCTCAAATAAATGGGTTGGTTTTGATATCTAACAAATTCATTAGGAAATTTATTGCACTGATAAAACGCTATATAAGTTGTTTGGAAATGTCAATACTTGATTTTAATAACTGCCCCAATGAGATGAATATTTTTCATTCTACAATCACAACATATTTCTTTTAAGTGATGCACAATCCATGCAAAACTAATAGTATACTCATTATTAATAAACAAGATTGTTTTTTTTTAGTTTTTAATCTACATTCTTTTTGTTGACGATATTATCTTTAAACATTCATTTATATTAAATAATAGTGTATAAGTTTCAAAATGAATTTTGCATAGGTGGTCATATACAGTTAACTTTGAAAGATTCCATTTATTTTTTTGAATTACAAATAATTTATCGTTTTTTATAGCTGTCCACTAGTTGCATTAAATAATAAGAAAATTATGAATATACAAGTATATTTCATTTTTATTATGTGGTAGAAGATTTATTCCGTAATTATTAAAAACACTGTTATTATTTTAAAATACGTATGCCATACAATTAAATTTTAATAAAAATATAAATAGTTTATTAAGTGATAGCGTAATTATGTAATTTAACAGATAATTTTATCATAATATAATTTTATTAAAATTATACATAAAAAATTGAAAGATACCAATAACGTACTTTCATATTAAAGTATTAAATTAAATCAATAAATAAAATCATGTTACACCATATAAATAAAAATTAATAGAAAGTCTGAATTATTGAAATTTATCTAAAATACATAAAAACATAAAAAATATTCACAGATATCTATATTTTAAAATTATATAAAATAAAATTTATTTAAAATTCATTTTTTTTGATAAGCAACATTGAAATTGTTTTAAACTTTCAAATCATGAACATTAATATGACTTCTGAAGTGAAATTCTACATATCCAAAGCAAATTAAATTTATTTTAAATCCATTTTTTTGGTAAACAAAATTGATTTTATTTTAAACTTCCAAATCGTGAACATAAGAAGTTGTTTTTCTTTCTTTATCATATGAAAAGCCTAGATTAAAATACTCTTCAGTAGTTTTATTGTTAATATAATTTCTTAAGTAATGTTCTACATATTCAAAGTAAGTAAAGTTTTTAAATTCCTTTTTTTCTTCAATAAAATATTTGAATTTTCCTCTATTGAGAAAATCAAGATTAAATACACTAATATTTTGACTTTGGAGTATTTTATACAAATTACTCTTGTTAGTGTATTTTTCCTTAAATACATTATTAATATTCATCAAATATTTTTTGTCATCTGTTTCTTGACTTTCAATTTTGTTTACCAGTGGAATAAAATCTTTTAATTCTTGTAAAATAAATGGGTTGGTATCAATATCTAACAAATTTATTAGGAACTTTATTGCACTGATAAAACGTATTATAAGTTGTTTGGAAATGACAATACTTGATTTGAATAATTTCACACAATGCGGGAAATTTTTTGTATCTCTTAAGTCTTCCCAGTAAATACAGTCACAACGTATTTCTGTTAAATGTTGTACGATCCATGCAAAACTAACAGTGTACTGTCTATTAATAAGCAATATTGTTTTTCTTAGTTTTTCTTCAACATTCCTATAATTAACCTTGGTTCCTTCATAACAATTATTTTTATCAAACAGTAGTCCAATAGAACTAAACATATCTCTGTTTTGGTAGACTGTCACTGGCCTATTTGCAATGTTCCACTTGCTACTTTGTAAAAATGAGTTTAAAAATTGAATTGTAAATTTTTCACCTTTTTGTTTTGGCTGTCCATTAGTCGCTAAAGATAATAAGGAAAATATGAATATACTAGAATAATTCATTTTTATTAGGTCGTAGAAGATTTAATTCGTAATTATTAAAAACACTGTTATTATTTTAAAATACGTATACCACGCAATTAAATTTTGATAAAATTATAAAAACTTTTTCTCATTGAAAATATAAATGGTTTATTAAGTGATGGCGTACTATGTAATTTAAAATAAACCACGTCATAAATTGTTGATACGTTCTTAGTTTTAAAAATTATTCACAGTGTGTTTCATTCATTCATAATAAATTTACCCGGTTAAAAAAATTATATTTATTCGTTTGTGTTTTAAAAATACAACATCAAACTTTAAGTATCTTTACTAGCTAAATAAAATATCATGAATTCGATAATTTTTGTAATTTTATCTAAAAATATTTTTATTAACTAGCCATTTCCAATCATTGATATTATTTACTCCTCTAAAACTTTGGATCAATATGATTATATAGTTATTTTATTCATAAATGCATCATGTAATTAATGGAATTACCATAATATTTATATATATTTTAAATATATATAATAAATATTATATAATATATGTAAATAAATATAATATTTATTTACAGTTGATCTTGATATTATTTTACTAATGTTTTTACGAAATTTGTAAAATTTTATAGCAATATAATATGATACTTTAAAAATATAATAGATATAAATATAATATGACATATTAATAATGAAGATATTAAGGATATATTTTGTAATACAATTTTAAAACAAAAATGACGGATTTATAATAAGCACAAAAATATGCCGATGACAACGTGGGACTGTGACTTAATAAAAAGGTATATGAAAGTATCAAACACTTCGGCTTTAGTCTATTGAATATCGCCAACTTAGGGATATTGTCGTCATATAGTGCCATATAGTGAATAATTTTTTATTGTAATAAAATTAAACATTACGTGATTGTCATTTTAAGAAAAGACACATGGTTAATAATGATTGAATTGAGATGTATAATTAATAAAACAAAGTGGACAGTAATGTAGCATTATGACAGATTAATTATTTGTGTGTACACAAATAATATAAAATACAGATAATCAATTTTTCATTGATAAATGTAAGATGCATTGGGCATATTACGACATACTTTTGTGAATCTCCAATAAAATATTATATTTTTTTCTAGAACTATCAAAATACGGGTATATTATTAAAATTTTATTTTTAATAAAATATATAGAAAGTTATCTTTTACATATAAAAATTAGTAGCAGATTTTTTGCAAGGAAATCGTATCATTTAAAATTAAACTGTTATCCTAAGCGTTTATATTGACTTCATGTATTTATATATATATTATAAAATAGTGATTACTTTAAGAAAAGTTTTGTTTAAAAGGACGTAAGCTTTATTTTTTTAATGACAATAAACATATTTAACTAACTTATAAAATAGAAAATGAATGAAAAACTTGAAATGGTATTTAATTTATTTTACAAATTAAAAATTGGTTTTGATTACAATTCGTTAACATTAGAAGTATTTATTCGTTTCTGTATTAAACAACAATTTAAAAATTTATATAAATATCAATATATACAAAAATAAACATATTCATTTCTATGTACTATTTAGTATGTGTACGATTAGTGGTAGTTATATTTCTAACCTTAATTTCAGTTGTACTGGTGATGCAGTTGTTCATTGATGTTCAAATATAGTTGATATTCGTGCGTACTTATTCGCTGTTCTCTCAAACATTGTTTGTTGATATTTCCATTTAATTCATCATGAAAAATCTTATTGTTACTTGTTAGTTTTTATTTAGAGAGAAAACGAAAAACAAAAAATGTTCACTTTTTTTAATACATAGATATCATTCCGTATTTCATTTCTTTTTTAAAACATAACCAACCAATTATTTTATCTTCTTATCACTTTGTTAGGCATGACAACATTTTTCCAGCGCCGCCACCACATAACGCGAATGCAAAAGTCCCACACGATGTTGCCGCATATTATACAATAATACGAGTAATCATACAATAATAGTACATTTACAACATTTCATCTAAACTGTACCATTACAAACTTACATTACATAACATACGCAATCAAATAATCATCCACTTAATTTTGAAATGAGAAAAAAATAACAATTTTTTTAATTTTAACTTCATTACATGACATACGTATTTTAAAATAATAAGTGTATTTCTCATTATTAAGTATAATATCAATTAACGATAATAAATTATAGCATCTTTATATTTATCATAACAGTCATAAAAAAGTAACTTTTAATGCACAACACGTGACGACGGCGGACAGAGAAAATTCACGTAGGACGTCAGAAACAAGATGGAGCGTTCACCGCCGGCGATCGGTGGTCGACCGCGCTCCACTAGACAGACTTTGCACCCTGACTAGATAGTTGGGGTACTCTAATCAGGCTGGGCTCGCGATGTAATAAGGCGGCTGATGGATAGGACGATGTGACCGTGTATTAAACGTATCGCAAAATATACGGTACCTGACACGGTACTAAACAAAAATATTTGTTTAGCAGATGGAGAATAACAATTATGGTATGTATTTTCAAATTATTAATTTTTATATAAATAATACTTAGAAATATAATAATTATTATATATATTTTATTTTAGAATTATGTGTTATAAATGTGGGGCGCAATAGATCAATCATATCTCAATAATATCTTAACAATGACAAGCACCTTACTCCATTATTGGCTCTATCCTTTTTTTAAACCAGAATTTGTTAAAGAATCTGAACTGAAATTGAATTCTTATTTCATAAGCCATTTGTCTCTAAATTTTTTTTTTTTTTTTTTGAATCTTTTAATTTAAACTTCTTTGCTCTTAACGTTAATACGTTTTTTTTCAAATTATGGAAATAAATGTCAATATTTAAAATATGCAATTTTTTTAAAATTATTTTATTATAACAATAAATTTAATCCAACTATTAAATGTCCATTCAATAGTAAAGAACTGTTGTTTTGTTTTCTTATCGAGTAGGTAGACTGTTGTTATTTTTCTTAATTCAATTTATATAGAATAATTGAACATTACAAATATTGCATTGGCAGACCGTGCATAGTAATGAACAGAGATAATTTTGGTCTTGGTGTTGTGGTGCCGCATCTATTCAATGTACAAGCAACGGGATTTATCTGGCTAATATATCGTCGCCTTAAAAGTGTCTAAATATATGAAATATTTTTCAATCTTGACACAGTATAAAGGTATTTAATAATAATAAACGTAACACCGTTATGGAGTCGATTTATATTATTTGAAGTTATATTAATATTATAAAAACTGGTGAACAGTAAGGTGCGAATAAAACACAATAAGGCGCTGATGAAAAATCACACGGCGCGTACGGCGGATGTAAGTCACAGACGAACTAGTTTACATAGTCGCCGACGTGTCTCGCGGTGCTGCACCGCTGACCTGTCCTGTCTACCGACAGCCGGATAAGACAAACTGGTGTTATGGTCAACACTAATGAGTGCGACGGTGACAGCTGATAATCACGACCGGATAACGTGCAAATTCACTGTAAATGAGTAGTGCGCTATTACTGACCGTGTCAATCTTGTTATGATGAGAATGCGCGAGAAACTTTGAAAAATATTTATTTAGTATTTCAAATTGACGACCGGCAGAGCATTTTTATACTAAAGTAGTACTTAAATTATTTAAAGTTATAGTTAATGATACATAAAAAATAATCAGAATTACAAACCTAATAATCAAGTGAATCATGCAAATAATAATTTTATATAATAAATGAAAAATAGTTTTCCCATACATACATAATATTTAATTTTTAAGATAGTGGCCTTAGAATTAAAACTGTTTATTCAACGGAGCATGGAGAAATGGTTTTTGGTAGCATGGATAAGGACTCGAACATCAATTTTAAGTCCTAAGTTCTGAATCCAATGAGAAGGTAATTAATAATAAATAGATCGACATTTCTATGGAAAGAAATTAACGTTGTTATATCTAATTCATCTCGTACAGGAATAGAATCATGTAGTTATAATTAATATTAATGCAGCAAAGTCAGAAATTTCTTTTCGACTCATTCACTCATTAATATGATGATGAAAGGAGAGGTAAATAAATGAATAAACTAAAACTATTTTATGCAAGATAGACGACCAAGTATTGTACCGCCAAGAGAATAGTTAGTGGTAAACGAATATAGGTATCATTCACTTAATGAAAAATATATTTATTTTTTTTTGATTATCATTTTATCAGCCCATTAAGGGCCCATTGCGGCCTTCTCCAAAGGAGGGGGTTTCTTAACCATTTATACTTTAGGACGGGTAGATAGCTCGTCACGAGGATAGTGGGATGGGGAGTACAATTATCTAATGTCTCATTTGGTAAATGAAGCTGCCCGTAACCTGCTCAGCCACAGTATCCCTCTATAAAATATATTTATTTAATAAAAATATACGTACATCATTAAAATTATATTTTTAATGAAATACGCAGCATTATTATTGTTCTATTCAAAACAATCTTATTATTAAAAATAAAATCATTCTCTCGAGCAATTAAATAGGCTATATAACTTTATAAATCAGTAAAGCAGAATGAAATAGTTAAAATTATTTTACGGTATGTTATTACAAGTAACAAATTTCATTTTATATGTGTTTATTACAAATCCTGACAAAATGTTGATACAGTATAAATAGCTAACTAAACACAATGAATATATTCTTTATAAATTTATTTTATTTTTTAATATTCACATGTATAAAAAATCGTGTGTTAGAGAAAAATTGACTATAACAATTTAACAGTTAAAAACAAAACAAATCTTTCTTTTCTCTTTACAATTACCAATTTATGAACATAAGTAGTTTCATTTTTTAATTTGCCATAAAAAAAGCCCAGATTAGTATATAATGTTTTCTCCTTATCCTGAAAACCATTTCTTAAGGTAACTTCTACAAATTCATACATTTCAAACGTATTAGGTAATCTAACGGCCCTTACGAGTTACATACCGCCAACGATCTTGGCACTTTTTCGGCACCGCACCCCCGTCTTATCGGAATGGAGGGGACGCCGCGGTAAATTCGGATGTAATCAGGGTATCGGAGTTCGAAGACACTGCCGATACGACCGAACATAGCGCGAGTCAGGTGTTCGAAATTTTTTCGGGTACAGTGGAGGAGGGGATGTCAGTGGACCCGGCTAGTCCACTAATGGCAGTTAACACTGTCAGTGGGCAAACCGGCGTCGCGGTTAAGAACCAGCTGCCCCCCGTTCGAACCGTAAACCACCCGAATAATGAAAGTGACCGCGTAGAATTACTATTCCAGCAGTCGAGTTAGAATCCCAAAATGGCTTCGTCACAGCTTTACACGACTCACAGGCGCATAAATCGTATGTAAAACCGGTAATTGCTTATAAATACGGAACTGTTTAAAAAGGACACACCGCCACGTTTACCGCCAAAATCGCGGATTTAAAAGTGCGTTTTTCAGCGGTTGTTTTAGACGACCTGTATTGCGACGTATTACTCGGCCATGAACTTCTGATTGATAAGAAAGTCGCCTGGGACTACTCAGCAGGAACAATACACTTAGGTACTAAGAAACGTACAACCGCATGTTGGAAATCGGGCGCACGACACACGATCCGCAAACCTTTACTTGGAATAATAATCATAATAATAGAATAATCGTAATAATCAAAAATATTATTAAACGAGATAAATCATATAAAACTTGCACACGCTAAAAGTACAATAAAGTAATACACGACGATAAAGACTTATTGTCAGAATTATTTCAACAAAATCTTACTACACAAAAATGAGATTATCCACAGTGCTCCCGGGGTACTCTCCCCGACAATTCAATCCATTCCATCGTATATACTAAAACGTTTTTTTTTGTCTTTTACAAAGTTAATACTACAACAATTCTACAAAATGTTTATAAATATTTACTTCCTCGTCTAATAACAATAGATTATTGTTATTAGCATTAAATCTATAGTAATAATGAAATAATAATAACGTTCAAAAAAAGTTGATTAAGCAAGCGAGCAATCAGCGGCCCGTCGTAGCGCCTTTACCGGAGGAACATCCGGTGAACCTCGTGCTACACACATCACACGACGAATCTGATGTCGACCAACCGGAGGAAATGACGCGTGCAAGCGGACTACTAGGCACGCCGTACGTTGTAGGCGTATACGTTGCTCGCTCGATAGCGCACGCGGCAGAACAAGTCGGAGCGATCCGACAGAATATTAGCGACATTTCGAATAACGCGCGGATCGAGGCACGGATGACTGAACTAGAAAGGTCGCTGTCGCGTATGTCAATGGAACAGCGACAGAATTCCAACATGCTTGAGCGAATCAGTCAAAATATGCCGCCGTCCCCACATGTTGCTGTACAACCGACTATTCGACAAGTTAACGTTGACCGAAATGATAGTCGACGATCGGAAGCGCATCGCGTTACATTCGGTCCATCGGGAGCGACGGACACGACGCAATTTTACACGAGCGCCTCGCGGACATCGAAGCACAACAAGCCCGCAACATGAGACGGTCGTACGTACAAGCGTCGCTACCTCGGATTAGCAAGACGAACATTATCAGCGCACTCATACATATGAGAACGAGCCGACCGATTTTTCGTTTACGCGCCAACCACGGGAGGGGCAATTCAACACAACCGACGGTCGTCGGTCCTTTAATGATTTGTCGCCTACCCGCAGCTCGCGGTCGGTATTGGTACCCTACCACGACCTACGCACCGTACGCGCCTGTTTACCTGAGTATTACGGGAGAAACGAAGAGGACCCACCGGAGTTTCTAGACCGAGCTGAGGATCTACTCTGTCAGGGCGGTATACACCCAACGGCGTGGGTGAATATCGTCGTCCCGTTTTTGAACGACAGGGCAGGTGATTGGTGGCGAGCCATAAAATTAAACATTATGCCATGGACGGAATATATGTCCGAATTACTCGAGGAGTTCGACAATATCGATATCCGGACTGCGCTCGAGACGGACTTAAAAACGACGCGACAGGACCCC